CCGCTCCCGGTCACTGCAGCCTCGCCTGCTGGGCTCCGACGATCCTTCTGCCTCAGCCTTCCAAGTAGCTGGAACTACAGGTGTGTGCCACCACACCCGGCTAATTTTTTATTTATTGTGGAGATGAGGTCTTGCCAAGTTGCCCAGGCGGATCTCGAACCACGGGTTCAGGCAATCCACTCACCTCAGCCTCCCAAAGGCGCAGGATTACAGGCTGAGCCACCGAGCCTGGCCCAAAGGCATCTTCTAATTACTCCTTAGGTCACAATAAGACAGGAGCTACTATCAGCAACTTATCTTTTTGCCTAGCTTAGTACACTATCTCAGCCTACTAAAATTCAGTTATAAACATTCTTCACACCCAGGATATTGTTAGAGTATAAGTCTTGGGAATCTAAGACTTTGTTTCAAATCTTATTCTGTTACCTAGAAGTTATAGGTATTTGGAGGATTCTTAATACCTACTTACAGCATTGTGATGATTAATTAAGTTGAGTATATGAAGTTCCTGATATTTGAAAGTGCTCAATTACTGGTTTCTATTATTAATATCCCATTTATGATTCTTACCCACCCCTTTTCATTACAAATGTCATTATCCTCCTGGACAAATATCTCATTACTTTCATTTTAAAAAATTAGGTGTGGTGGTGTACATCTACGGTCCCAACTATTCAGAAGGCTGAGGTAGGAGGATCACCTGAGCCCAGGAGGTTGAGGCTGTGGTCAGCTATGATCATACCACTGTACTCCAACCTGGACAACAGAGTAAGGCCCCAACTCAGAAAAAAATAGGAAGAAAGAAAATGTAGATAGACAACTAAATAAATTAGGAAAACAATACATGATGAAAATGAGATGCTCAACAAATAAACATAAACAATAAAAACAAACAAGAAAACCTAAAGCTAAATAATATAATGGCTGAAATGAAAAAGTCAATAGAGAACTGCAACAGTAGACCCAATCAAACAGAAGAAAGAATCTGTGAACTCGAAGACAGGTAAACTGATATTATCCAGTTAGAGGACCAAAAGAGAAAAAAGAAGTAAAAGAGCATAGAAAACCTATGGGATATATGGAACACTATCACGTGAACAATATACAAACTATAAAGATACCAGGAGAAGAGTTAAAGAGGTAGAAAGTCTACTTATGCCAGGCGTGGTGGCTCATATCTTTAATTCCAGCACTTCGGGAGGCTGAGGCAAGAGGATTGCCTGAGTCCAGGGGTTCAATACCAGCCTGGGCAACATGACAAGTCCTCCTCTCTACATAAATCAAAAAGTTAGCTGGGCATGGTGGTGCACACCTGTAGTTCCAGCTACTTGAAAGGTTGAAGTGGAAGGATCCCCTGAATCCAGTAGGTTGAGACTGCGGTGGCCATGAGTGTGCCACTACACTCTAGAGCCTGGGCGACAGAGTGAGATTCCAACTCAAAAAAAGAAAAAAGGAGGTCTACTTAAATAAATAGTGGCTGAAAACTTCCCAAATTTAGGGAGAGAAATGGGTATCCAGATTCAAGAAGCACAAAGACTCCCAA